CAGTGATTCCAGTGACAGTAATTAATGTATGGATTTCTTTTTGTAACAGACAGGCTATCATGATTTTTAGTGCAACTTTGAAGAACAAATTCTTGCAAAATCTCTCATGTTAACTTTGTTACTCGCCATGTCTCTTTCAGGTTACTCTTTAAATAAAGTGTTGGATGACTTGCTGCAGTTTGATTTTACTATTAGTCTGTGGAGTGAGGTTCATGCTGGATCTCCTAAACCTGTGAGTAACTCAACTTTATCTCATTGGTGATTGAAATATCACTTCTCTATAATTCTGATTTCTGTACACTTCTTTTAAGTTAGTTAAAATATGAGAATAATAATATTGGTGGTGTATCAAAACAATATTCGCTACTTCATAATTCTTAAAAAATTACAGTTCTGTAGTTATTCTCAGTACTTGCCTGTTCAAAAGTGTAGTATGTAGACAATGCTGTGAATGGAAATATAATGTTTATGGTTCTTGAGAATTAATTGAAAAGCTCTAAAAACAGCAATATCTAAATTTCATAGTTGCTTGTAAATCCTGCAATTTGCAACTTCTCTTTAGAAGTAATGATCTGCTCTGAAGATGGCAACCTCAAATGTACATTTCTATCTGTATATTAGTAATAAAAGAAAACCTCCAATGATCTCAATCTAACGACTTAGATAAAAAGAACTTATTGTGTTATTAATAGTAACAAAAATATATATATTATTAATAATTATGTGAAAGATAAGTATTTGCATGTCTACAGTCTGTCTAGGAATTTATTACAATAAGTGGTTTTCATTTGGGATAATAGTTTGAAGTAATCTGTCTGCAGGTATCTTTGCAGTCTAGAGGTAATATTATTTATCTTCCCTCTCAGTCTGTAGTTACTAATAGATAGTATTCTACCCAGAAGCAGTGAGCCTCTAAAAGGTTTTGAATCTCAAATTACAATGTAATGACTGGTGTCTCTTGTAGGAGTTTGACATAAAGGCTGCCGCTTCGGGGCTTGAGGCAGAATAATTTTATATTATCTTTTTTCTTTCAGGTTGGGCGCTTTTCTCACACTGCAAACCTGTATCTTGACGCCATGGTGGTGTTTGGCGGAGAATTACAGGATGGTAACCTCACCAATGATCTTTGGCTCTATGACTTAACTCTCAACAAATGGACAGAGCTTGCTGTAAATGATACTGTTAAACCACCTCCTCTTGCTGAACACAGCGCCACTGTGGTGGACAATATACTTTATATTTTTGGTGGTGAGTTTCGAGTTACATGTACCTTCAGATTGTGAATCTTGAATTATGAATTTTTTCAGAAGGGATTAATAAAAGCCAGGTCTACATGTATGCGAATGTAAGAAGAATGACAGTTAATGAAAGTTTGGTTCTTTGAATCTTACTTGCTAGTGATCAAAATCAAAGATGCCAATTGAATGCTCGGATTGAGGTTAAAATAACGATTTGCGCATCCAGGGTTGTCAAACATTTTGAAATTGGTGGGTTTATTGTTGGAGTAGGTGGCTGATTTTGACTTTTTAAAGAATCAGACAAAAAGCCCGGTAGAGATTGTTAGCTGAGATTGTTAGCTGACATTGTTAAGTTATTTATAAAACATGAAAGAGCGTGTTTGACCACATTTCCAAATACTGAGAAGAGAGTTGAAAAGAAGACACACAGCAGAGTATTTTTGACAAACCTTGAGGTGTTTTGAAATGTAGTAAAACACTGTCTTGAGTGAAACTGAAACTAAGGAGAAAATGGAGAAATAAAATCATAAAAATCTATGTTGATCAGATCATATCCAAACATCATCACTGTCATGATTTCCTTTATTTAAACTTGATGTTCAATTATTTTAATAATTCATTAAAATGAGTTTAAGAAGTAGATGGTGATTTTGCTGTCAACCAGCTTCTTTTGAGCATTTAATGTACTATAACTAAGTTGTTGGTGGTGTTTTTAACAACAGGTCGTACCAGTCGTGACCCATTTTCTTCAGACATGTTCTCATATTCATTATCAAGTAAAACTGGCTGGACAAAGATTTTATACCACAGTGGGAATGAACTGCATTTGCGTATGTTGGGACATACAGCAATTTATTATGCTGATCTGCATTCTCTTGTTGTCTTTGGTGGATTTGTTCCTTACAGAGCAAGGTATATTAACTTCCTCTCAGACTATTTTGTTGTTCCAGAAAACATCCATCCCCACTTCCATACTAGGGAAGGCTTTTTTTGTCTTGCCCACCCCCACCCTACTTCCCAAATTCCCTCCAGAAATATCCAGTTTGAGTTCAAACTCTCCTTTAAAACTATTAGATTTTGAGATCCCCCAGGGAATTTTCAACAACCCCCCCCCCCTTTGGGTGAGTATCCATAGATATTTTCTGGAACTGTACATTGGTGAAGATGATGACTGTCAACAGGGCTTTAAATTAAGTTTTTAGTACCCCAGGAAATCACTAGCAAGACATATTTGCCACTAAGATATCCTTCCACTTGCAAAACAAGGAAATGCATTAGTTGGTAAGTTTAAGACCTTGTAAACAAACTGTGGAATAGGTGACAACAAATTTAGTCAGTGGTAAATTTTCTAGCTAAATTAAAATTTCCACTAACAATGATTCCTTTCTCTTTCTTTTAGGAGCAGTGATCGCTCTAACAGACTTCTGGCATTTCATCTTGATCATCAAGTGTGGACTGAGCTTGCTGTCACAGGAGATATTCCCAGAGGTCGTTCATTTCACTCTGCAGTTTTGGTGCACGACTACTTAGTTATTTATGGTTAGTTGATTTTTTTCTGTACTAGAATAGTTTAGATACATAATGAAAAATATTTAATTTATTGAAGACCTGAATGATCATTGCAGTTACATGCATAACTTAATTAAGAAGCTGTGAAATTTAAGCCTGAAAAAAAATTAGGCTTGAACAGGATGTTTTTTACCGCAGGAGATTTAAAAAAGATTGAATTCAAGGGGGTGGTAATATTTTTGGGACTGCTTCATGGCCGCTCTTGTACTCTGCACTCGATCTGCGTGCTCAAAGAAAAAGAATGTATAGCAAAAAACAGACTACATGTATTTTTACCAGTAACTGAAGATGGGTGTGTTTTTTTTATTAAATATCAGGTGGAAATGTCCATAAACATAGAGAAGAAGAAATATGTCATGACAACAAGCTTTTGTTTTACCATCTGAAATGCCACAAGTGGATTTCACCATCAACATTTGATGCTCTTTCTCTTTCCTCCGGCAATCCACAGCAAGGAAGGTTCTCTCACGGAGCTGTACTGCGGAATGGATCAGTCATGCTTGTTGTGGGAGGATTTAGTGGGTTGCCATTGGGTGATGTCTTAGGTTTTAAATTGCCTATCGCCATTGCAGAAAAGAGTTCTTCAGGGGGGCACTGTGAAGGTTACAGTACTGAGAAGAGCTGCATAGAAGACCCAGAATGTGGGTGGTGTAGTAAATCATCCAAGTGTCTCAGCTTAGATCAATCAGCAAGTTGCAGTGCAACTCTCTCGACAAGTTCCTGTCCTGGACCATGTGCTGTGCATGTGCAATGCAGTGCTTGTTTATTAGTTGGCGGTGCAAAATGCGGGTGGTGTGTCGAGGACAGCAGATGTTACCCGAGAGATTCACGGACAGGTGCCTGTCAAACTGTCACTAACAGTAATGTGGAGACAATCCGAGGCTGGTGGGGTGATACAGGACATTTTCTTACATCACCAAATGAGTGTCAAACCAGGGATTATCCACCAGGAATCACTGTTATTGAGAATGTTGAATATCCAAACAGTTCTTTTCCTGATGGTGTCAGGATTGTCTTACAATCAGAAGTTGAAATTTTCCGTGAGGGGGTATTAGACAAAGTGCGCGTGACTCAGCTGAAGGGATTTGTATATCCCTTTAGGTACCAGCCAGTGCCGTGGAAGTCTTACAAATTGTATCTTGAGCTTAACAATGCCGGAAACAGTAACGTTTCATTGTGGCTCAGCACTGATGATACAGAGGCAAATAGTGTAAGTACAGCATCCTTCCAAACTAGTGTTTCATGTCTGAGTGAGCAAAAGTTTCCTCCCATTCCTCCTGGAGGACACTCCCCTGTGATATGATAGAGTTGCTTGTAGGAAAGTTTTAACCCCCTGTAAAAGGGGCCAGAATCTTGTTTTGTGGGTGTAGCTTAAGTTCATCTCCACCCCTCAAGAGGGTCCTTTAAAGCTACATCATCAGTTTAGAATGATTTTAGTCAAATCTCAAATGTGCCAATTGCAGAGGAAGAAAACTTTGTTTTTGAGCTTTGTTTTAACATGTCTTTTTTGTTTACCCCTACCCCCAGCAACAAAAACATTTTTGTGTAAGAAAACAAGAA